TGCCCCTTGTCAAACTCACAATGTAAATGACTCGTGTACGACTTCATGCAACTGCTGAAACTAAACTGACTGAATAATGTAAGATATGCATTCTTCCATAACGAATTACAAAGAAGTGAAGGCAAATTTACAAAGTGGATATATAGAAACAATGAAATGGCAAATGAATTTCATTTGTTGGGTTGTTAGCAAAAGGTAGCAGGCGAGGCGAAGGAGACAGTAAGACCTAACAATATTCAATCTGTATAGTTCATCTTTCCTTACCTTTTTTTTGGGGGGGTTTAAAATGGCCATTATTTCCTCAATTTAGGGCTTGTGTGGAAGTGATTCTTTGAAAAGCATGTGTGGTTAAAAAGTAGGGAAAAATTATGGGGAAGTGTGAAAAATGATCTTTTGAGAGAGTGTATTTGAAAATGAGGGGAGGAAAAGTGATTTTCAAATATTTGAAACACGGGCTTAATGACATGGATGGGTCAATATCAGTTAAAAATTGAGAGCACAATGCTAATGTACTACCTTCACACAGAAGGTTAGTAGATACAGGCACTCTCTCTCTCTCTATATAATTATGTGTGTGTGTGTGTGTGTGTGTGTCTATATATGTGTATGTATGTATAAAACATACCTGTATGATGACAAAATCTGCTTAAATTCTTCTTCCAGCTTGGATATGGCCTTGGCAAGTAAATTATTTGTATGGTTGAGCACTCCATCACTACTCTTGAAGCTTTTGTGGTCACTAAAAAACCAAATGCTGTTTCTTAGTTGCTCAATTGCTTGAAGATAGCTTTCTAGGTCCTCATGTGGCCCTTTAAGTATTTTAGCTTCAGCCTACAGAAAACAAGTAAAACAAAGATATCAGCAGTTTTAAACAAGAAAAACACATCTGGGAGGCTCTGGAACAGTGGCAGCACGTGGGTGACACTTAACCCCTACCCATAACAATGAGAATTTCATAATAATAGGGGATTGAATCAGATTAACTTATAAGCAGCAAACACACATTCTACCTTAAATAGCTACCTCCTTTGGTAACAGATAAGTTATTCAATCCTATGTGTAATCCAAAAAACCAGCTAGTTATTTCTTCCAGTAAACTAACCTTTAATGATATTACTATAGTATATACAATCATCATCCTTTACATTTTATATCAACTGGCATTCTATAGAGGAGAGAGAGCATAAATTGAGGACGACTTTTGCAATCACTAAAACGTTGTCATTAACCATGAAATAATCCCACAATGCATTGTCTATAGCAATCCTGTACTAGAAGCTTTTTTCCAAACTCCAGGCTTTCAAAACGCACCAATAAGTTTACATACCAACTGGGATTCATAAAACTTATCACTTTCTTTCCATCCAATAGAACTTCAAAAGTACGTCATCGGCCTGGCCTTATATTCTATCGCTGATTCTGATAACATAAAATTGATGATGGGCAGAGACTCGAATTGTGAGACTCATTGAGTTGAAAGAAGTCTCATAACCGACGAGGCCAATCCCAGAAAACAGTTAACTCCAGGGGGCACAAAAGTTCATTTTAAAGGCACAACAGGATCTTGTCATAAGAACAGAACATTAACATCCTTTACATTGTGTCTTTACACTATTAATATAAGCTAAAAATTTCCAAGTGTCTTAAGCACAAATAAGACATAGCAAGCAGAGGGCGAAAACCCTAAGTTTGATGTCTCCCGTCATATCCAAACCAACTCCTCCACCACCCAACCCCACCGTCGCGGGCCTCTCCAGCGCCGGTCATCAGACCCAAAACCGGCGACCCACCCCAGCCGGCCTCACGCCACAAACCAGCCTCGCAAGCCCAGCAAATTCCGACCAGATCCAGGTTCCGCCCAGATTCAGTCCTCACGCACCTGATCGGCACCTCTGCAGGCCGTTCCACCTCCGGCCGGTCAGGCGCGTAGGTCACCGGCCATTCAGGTAGCGCATGAGCTGACGCGTGGCCAACACCTCCAGGTTCCTCCGGCTGCTACGAAGCCATTTCGACCAGTGGTTCCATCATCTTCCGGCCAGTTAGCACAAAATCATGGGAAACAGCCCCATGTAATGGAGGTTATGGTTTTTAGTTCACGATTTAGAGTCGAGGCGAAGGAGTTTGTAGTGACTGTTACCGCCTCTGGCGTGGTTAAGCTTTCGGAATGGCACTCGAAGATATGGGTGCTATTTGTATGGGCCGATTTGGAGCTGTGTGGATGGTGAATATGGTGGACAAGTTGAGGAGGGCCAGTAAGATGGAGGAATTCGTTGCCAAGTTCAATGAATCTTCCCGCACTTTCTTGGCGCAACGTTGTACAAGTAGTCGTGGCAGGTTTTTCATGGTAGCATAGTATGGGGAGAGGCGGAGAAAGAGGGTTGTAATGGTGCCGGAAGGTGCAAATGGAGAAGGATGGGAATCGGTTTCACGAATGTTCCAAGCAGTCATTGCTTCCTTTGTGGCCAGGGACAAGGTGGTACGTCAAACATATGAAGAAAGAAGCCGACGAGGAATGACTTATGCCGAAGTCACGACAAATGCATGGGCTTCGCAAAGTGCTGATCAGAGGGTAATGTTGCAGAAGGAAAGGGTGGGCAATGGGAGAAATGACCCTCATGTCGAAATAATAGCTCGCATACATGCATTGAAAGGAGAATTGGATGGATTAATAAAGGTTGTGAAAAGTGGGTCTATAGTGGGGTCCAGGTCAAGTTATTGTCATAAGTGTGGGGTGAGTTTGAAGGAGTCAGCTAATTTGGATGTCAAGGAGCCAGTGCCGATAGAGGTTTCGATTAAAGATAAGCAAGTGTTGGATAAGCTTTGTAGGGAGTCCCAGACGGGGTCTGATGTGAACATTTCTTCTGGAGATGAAAATCGAGACGAGATGGAAGGATCGAAAAGGGGTGGAGTGGAACCAAGGATCGAGGCATATCGAGGGACAGAACCTCGGACGGAAGTAGGAGAGCATGGCATTATGAATATTGACTCGGAAGTTTTGGAAGCGAACAGAGTTATTTGTTCTAGGATCGTGGGGTCATTAGACACGATTCCACTTGTAAAGGGTTCATTGCCAGATGATGTGCAAGAGGTTGGACTTGAACTGGGTGAACACTCAGGGTCGGCAATTGAAGACCAAGATGAGAAAACAGGCTCGGCCACTAAGGCAGTGAACACCTATAGCATGCGATACGCTAAGTCTTCGAATGAATGGGGTCTAGGGAATGATAATGCGTTGGTGGTGTGGATGGGTGGCGCTGAGAAGGGAAACACAGACAATGTTGCTGAACAGGTGGAGGAAGAGGAGGGACACTACTACGATCCTATTTATGCTGATGAGATGGCGAAAGTCAGTGCACTTGACGTCAGACCACCACCTTCAAATTGGGTTCTTCAAAGAATTCTGGACTTTAGCAAGATTGTAGGAGTGTCCTGTGATGGGTATGAAGATAGGCTCTGATAATTATTTGAGGATTTGGAGGCAAGCAGGAGACAAGGGCTGGGGACTCCAGGAGTTAAGACAAGAAGTAAGAATGATCGTGAACTTAAGCGGCTTGAATGCTCAATTAACTATGATATTAAGGGCGGCTAGTCGAGAAGAGGCGTGATGGGGAGGGATGATGGAGTTTTAGGATGATTCCGAAAATAATTAGTTGGAACGTAACAATGAAAAAGGTTAGGAGTTCGAAATCTATTGAGGAAATGGAGGGCTGACCTTGTATGTTTACAAGAAACAAAGTTGGAGGATGTGTCGAGGGATATTGTGAGTAGCCTATGGGGGGACAGCATGTGGGATGTCAGTTTGTAGGGTCATCGGGGGCCTCAGGAGGTATACTGATAATGTGGGACAACAGAGTCTCCGATATGGAGGAGGTTAGCGAAGGTCTGTTTTCTCTATCGATCTCATTTAGAAATATCGAGGATAGCTTCCGATGGATGTTCGTTGGAGTCTATGGGCCTAGCCCATGTTTGATCCCAATTAAAGTAAATTACATTACATTCCATTTTTCTCTCTCCTATTTTCAACCACACAATTTTTCATAAAATAATATTACACGTAAATCGAAAACTTTTCCTTCTTTTTCAACCACTCATTTTTCTAAAAAATACTATTCCCTCCTTTTTCATTTTCAGGTAATGGGCATCAAACAGGGGCCTAATATAGATGAGCATAGAAGTGGACTGTGGGTTGACTTAGCTGGAATGATGGCTTGGTGAAACCTTCCAACGTGTATCGGGGGAGATTTTAATGTGATCCGTTTTATTACTGAGAGGTCTAGTAGGGGGAGATTAACAAGGGCTATGGAGAACTTTTCAGATTTTATCAGCGAGAACGCGTTGGTGGACCTGCCTATAATTAGGGGAGACTTTACTTGGTCATCTAATCGGGATCAACCAATCCTATCCCGAATAGATCGGTTTTTGGTATGTGGAGCATGGGAGGCTAAGTATCCAGAGGTCATTCAGAGGAGAATGGAGAGACTGTATTCTGATCATTTCCCTATATCGTTATCTGGGAATGTGAGGCGTGATGGAAAAAAACCTTTTAGGTTTGAGAAGATGTTGCTTAAAGTAGATGGTTTTGAGGAACGAGTAAGGACTTAGTGGACGTCCTATGACTTCAGGGGATCTCCCAGTTATGTTTTGGATTGCAAATTGAAGGCACTGAAAAGGGATCTAAAGAAGTGGAATGAGGAAATGGTGGGAGATGTTAACTATCGCAAAAATCAATGCTTATCGGACATTGAGGAACTGGATAGGAGGGAGGAAAGTAGAGGACTGGCAGGGAAAGAGAGGGTGAGACGAGGAGAATTAAGGGAAGAATTGGAGAGGCTGGTGGAGATGGAGGAGACTACTTGGCATCACAAATCTAGGATCAAGTGGTTGAAAGAGGAGGACAAATGCACCCACTTTTTCCATAGGGTCGCGAACTCCAATAGACGCAACAATTCTATCAATATGTTGAAGATAGATGGCATTACCTTTGAGGATCCACAGGAGATTGGGACCCAGATGGTAAGCTTCTATCAAAACCTGTATCAGGAGCAGTTTGACTGGACACCAGAGTAGGAAGGGCTTGAGTTTTCTTTTATATCTGAGGAGGATGCCAGCTAGTTAGAAAGGCCTTTTGGGGAGGATGAAATTAGGGAGGTGATGTTCGGCATAAATGATGATAAGGCGCTAGGACCGGACGGATTTTCGTTCTCATTCTATAAGACTTGTTGGGAAGTGGTGCGATCGGATATTGTCGAAGTCCTTACTTATTTCTTTCAATGTGGAAGGTCCTTGAGAAGTGCTAATACCACATTTATTGTGCTGATTCCAAAGAAACTAGGATCGACGGATATTAAAGACTTTCGTCCTATTAGCCTCGTGAGCCGAGTTTACAAGATTATTGCGAAGATTTTGGCAAATAAATTGAAAGAGGTGCTAGGAAAAGTGGTGTCCAAGTTTCAGAATGCTTTCGTTAAAGGACGCCAGATTTTGGATTCAGTACTTATAGCAAATGAATGCATTGACTCAAGACTGCGCCTGGGTGTTCTTAGAATGCTATGCAAGCTTGACATTCAGAAAGCTTATGATCACGTAAATTGGAGATTTCTCTTGTATATGCTCAGGCAATGTAGCTTTGGGGATAAGTGGTGTAAGTGGATTCAGTTTTGCATCTTCACAGTTTCCTTTTCAGTTATGGTAAACGGCATTCCGGAGGGTTATTTATGTAGTAGCAAACGATAGAGACAGGGGGATCCTTTATCCCCGTTGCTGTTTGTCACTGTAATGGAGGCTTTCGGTAGGATGCTCAAGAAGGCCGTGGGGGAGAGTTTACTAAGGGGCTTTATGGTTAAACAGTTACAGGTATCTCATTTGCTCTTCACAGACGATACACTAATTTTCTGTGATGTAGAGGTAGAACAAATCAGGAATTTGCGGCATTTGCTCTTGTTCTTTAAAGCTATATTTGGATTGAAAATAAATCTGGGGAAATCTGAAGCTATCACAGTGAGAGATATGGATAACATGGTGGAGTTGGCTGCTATACTAGGATGCAGGGTTGCGTGATTGCCTATGACATATCTTGGACTGGCCTTTAGGCGCTCGGTTTAAAAGCACACATATCTGGAATAGTATTGTTGAAAGGGTGGAGAGAAGGCTAGCGAGGTGGAAGCGTATGTACCTCTCAAAGGGAGGTCGTCTTACTCTCATAAGGTCCACATTGTCGAACCTTCTTACTTACTTCATGTTGATTCCTATTCCTATTGCAGTGGCAAAAAAATTGGAGAGGATCCAAAGAGATTTTCTTTGGGAAGGATTAGGGCAGGAGAGGAAATTACATTTGGTTAATTGGGGTATCGTATGTTGTCCCATGAGGTTGGGTGGTCTCGGATTGAGGAGTCTCGTATTGTTAAATAAAGTTTTGTTAGGTAAGCGGTTGTGGCAATTTGAAACGGAGAGGGGGAGTTTTTGGTGTTATGGAAGGGGGATGGTGTTCAGTCGAGAGTCGGGACTCTTATGGGGTGAGTCTGTGGCGGTATATCCGGTGAGGGTGGAGCGATTTTCGGGATAAATTGACGTTTGCAGTGGGGAATGGTAATACTATCAATTTTTGAGATGATTGTTGGTGTTGAGATCAACCACTAAGATTGAAATTTCCTTCCTTGTATCGTATTGCATTGTTGCCGTCTGCCATGGTGAATGATGTTTTAGATATTCGTAATGGGAGTATCAGCTAGAACATTGCTTTTGCACGGGGTTTGCAGGATTGGGAGTTAGATGACTACGCGCTATTTTTGACATCTTTATATGAGGTACAAATCAGGGCAGAAGATGGTGATTGCAACAGGTAGAGGTTGGCACGGGATGGCATGTTTTCAATCGGCACTTTCTTTAAATCTTTATTGGGAGCTGAGAAGAGCTCTTTCCCTTGGAAGGCAATGTGGAAGAGTAAATTGCCACCACGAGTAGCATTTTTACTATGGACAGTGGTCAGAGGACAGGTGCTAAAGGCGGAAAACCTACAGACAAGGGATTTTTGTATTACAGAGTGGTGCTTTATGTGTATGAGGGATGGGGAGACGATTGATCACTTGTTCCTCCATTGTGATGTTGCTAATTTACTATGGAATGAGATTTTCGCATCGCAACACATAGATTGGGCAATGCCAAGACGTGTTAAAGGCATGGAGAAAATTTCGCGACAAGGATAGCAAACTTGCATGGGAGCTTATTTCGGGCTGCATAGTTTGGTGTGTGCAGAGAGAAAGGAACAGCCGATGTTTTGACGATCAAACAAGAACAACAGAGCAATTTAGAGAATTGTTTTATTTCACAATGTACACTTGGTTTAATGCGGTGGCTACTAGTCATATAGATGGGCCGCCCAATTTTATGTCGTTTCTTTCGGATTTGTATTGATAATACACTTCTTGTATATTATGGTTTGATTAATAAAATACTTGATTACCTTTCAAAAAAAAAAAAAAAAAAATATATATATATATATATAAGCTAAAATACGTAAAAATGTTCAGGTATTATATGAAAAAATTTACATTCTAAAGAGAATATCAACTATTTGTTATTACTGTTTCTTAACTATTATAGTACATACACCTATAGAAAATTACAATGAATTCTTACGTTGATGCATTGTACATTAATATAATGTCTGACTAATTGAATACAAAATTATGATAATTCTTCAAAGTTTCATCAGGGAGTATACCAAGTTATTATCTAAATTTTATGTTTATCCATACACACATGCACGCACCTGTTTAGATTTAGCCCCTGTTTGGTAGAGATCAAAAGTCAAATATAATCTAACTCAAAGTCAATAATTAATTTCAACCACATGCTTTATAAGACCCACAGTTTTTCATCCACATTTTTATTAACTTTTAGCAAAATTTACTAAAAATCTGATTTTAATCCCTATCAAACAGAGGCTTAATAAGTTAATCATCAATATATTTACATAGTGAAAAATATAAAATTGTGTGATGATACGATTAATCTTCGTTGTTTATTTTGATCATGGGTTTAAAAATGCTTTTTGAGGCTTACGAGCGACTCAATCCCCTCCTAAGGCTTTCATCAAATGCCTCAAAACTTACACCTCAAGTGCCAATTGGTGAGGCTCATACCTCGAGTTAATAAGACGAGGCCTCAAGGCTAAGTCACAGGGTGACTAAGGTGTTCGTCTTCTTGTCTTGCTTTACATAGACATTTTATTAATATTCTTAGCTTCTTAGGGTATTTTCTAAGAACTCATTATTTTACGGACTTTTTTTTTTGTTTTTTCTTCTATAGGGAAAGGAAAATACACAAATTCAAGTAGAGAACGACACTGAGAATTAAATTCAAAGATGATTCCCTTAGAGATCCAACTTGTAGTTATGATATATGAGACTTCTAGATTGTTTCCACTTTTACTACAGTTTTGTTATGTAATTACTAATTTGAGAAGTTATTTTTGTTGCTGCTTTTACCTATTTATTGTTGTTTTGAAAGCTGGACATTTAATTTAGTTAATTTGATTTATTATGGATCCTCAAGATGGTTTATGGTTTATTATGAGCATATTTTGTATTTTTATTACGCTCATTAAATTATTTCATTGGTTAGTCTTAAGGCATATGGATAACGCCTCGTCTCACGTATGTAAAACACCTCAGTACCTGATTGAATATTTTTAAACATTGATATTGATAATAATATAAGCAAACAATGAGGAAATGACTTGTGCAGATGATCTTAATGGGTTGAATTGAATAAAAAATATAAATGTAAAGGAAACACCAAGAAAAAAATCACAAAGGGACATTATCAAATATACTATTGCTCTTATATTCACTTAACTTGAATCTTGAAGATTTAAAATCAACAAATGCACATGTATGTGTACATATACGAGTCAGTTAACATCTTGACATAACGGTCGCAAAAGATTTTCATTTGATGATGGCCCAACTTAAAATTAAATAAATAAATACATACATTAAAGAAAAAGGAAAAACACAAAACAAAGAAGCAAGAAAAAATAGCATATCGTAAAAGCTAACCTGAACTGAAATATCAAATTGCGACAGTATGACTTCTGCGGCCTTTAATGTTTTATCGATGTTCTCATGAGCTTTCCGAATAGCAAGTGTTCTGATCTATAAAAAGAAAATCTGAGTAAGAATCACAAAATGCTGAGAAGAGGCAATGCTAGTAAAGATCATAAGTTCAAATCTCATAATTTGTTAGCAAAGCAAAAGAATCAAAATTAATATCAAATATGATTCAGAAGAAATTTTGTATGAAAACCATGACAATTATGAGGCAAAAAAGAAAATTCAAAAATTGAAGCATATTAAATACACATTTAAAACCACTCCACATTTCCCCAATTATTTGTACTTTATCAACGAAAAGAAGAGGTCAAGTAGTTTTCTGCCTGGCAGGATTGATTTTCAGTGAACTTTTATTTTCTTGTGCATATATTAATTTTCTTGTGGTTTCAAAGTATGAACAAAGGCAAGTCAGAGCACTAAAGCAGCCTAAAAATGAATATCTTTTCCTTGTTTCAGCTTAATGATGTTAGCGAATAAAACCTGAGAAAGGTACAAAAAGAAGATCAAGAAATTTGAATTTTGGTTTCATTGCTTTTTTTGCTCTTTCTTTCAAGGTTCCTCAGTTTTCTCAGTAACCATAAAGGAAATTGAATAGTGAATACCAGAAAGTATAAACACAAAATCAAGTTGAAAATGGTGAAATCCCCTTCTGAACAGCATGGCTGATCATCTACAAATGAAAAATCTAATGCAAAAAGCCATGGACTGCCATATTGAAATCCAAGTTTGCAGAAATTAAAAGCAGTAATACAGTAAACAAGGCTTCAGATCATAAATTTGTCGCTCGGTCTCACATTTCAAGAATGGCTGTTATTTGATCAGAAACCACAAAAATGGTAATCTTCTTTCCTATAAAATTCACATTTTTTCTTTTAATATCCAAGGTAAAATTAAGCAAAGGCAAGTTCTTTTACACCAAACCCAACTAAAAACGCCTTTCTTCCTTTCTCACTCCTTGGTAATTTGTTGCCACCATACTGAAAAAAAGTAGTAACAGAAATCAGATCAAGAACCAGGACTTGGGCTTCTTTCTTTATTCAGTATCATTTCAAGATTTCCATTGACTATCACATAGCAATCAGAAAATTGAACTGGGCATAACACAAATCTAACTTAAGAGCATGTTTTGGAAAAATTACTTGGGTGGGTTGCATGGCGGTTTCAAGCGCGGAGAGTCGGTGGTCAAAGGAGCCCAAAATGGATACCGTTTTATCAGTGATTGATTCGCTCTTCTGTAGTGCCTCCCTCATCTTTGTTGCTCTTTCACTCAGCATATCCACTCCTCCACCACCACCTGTTGCTGTTGCTGCTGTTCTGACTGGAACCCCCATCTCTCTTTCTCTCTCTCTAAAATCTCTCCTCAAATCAACCTGTGTTTGATTTCAAATAGGAATCGCCAGAGAGAGAAGATAACAAGGAAGAGTGTCAAAAGAAAAGAAAAACGAGACATTTGCGTGGAAAAGCAGTGTATTTAGGACAATTCATCAAAATCTTGCAAGCCAGAGGGGCTGAAAATAATAATGGGGGATTTTGTTAAAAAGCTCATTCAAACAATGTATTTCTTTAAAGGAAAAATTTTATAAATGAGAGTTTAACTATCATACATTTTAAAATTAAGAAAATAAATTTCAAACTTCAAAAATTAGATTTTTATTAATTTTTATTTATGATTTAATTAATTAATTATTTATTTTATTGATTAAATATATTTAGGTCACTCATCAATACAATTTGGTCACAATTAATGATTTAGTTATTTAGTTATTATTTTTTTTATCACAAATCAAAAATTTTATATCACAAATTATTTTACGATAACAATTCAAAAATCTTATAGGTCACAGTTTGTTTATCGGTCACAAATCAAAAAAATTATAAATCACGATTTATTTATTGGTCACAAATCACAGATTTTTGAAGTCACAAATTATCAACTTATCGGTCACAGATTAACAATTTTTTATGTCACACGTTATTTCTTGATCACAATTTATATTTTTAATTGGTCACATATTATTTATTGGTCACATATTAACCAATTTAATGGTCACAGTCAACCAAATAATTTGTAACTACCACCAACACTTGTGACCAACATCTCACCACCACCGTCGCCGCCAAAACCACCACCACCACCAACTCTCGATTGTTGGACAGTTGGTAACGATCCCCCAAATAATGGGTCACAAACACTTTCTTACTATACTGCCACCACAATCGCAACCCGCAAGCATCATACCACCGCCATCGCCACCGCCACCGCCACCGCTACCGTTACCACCATCGTCATCACAGTCGCCACACCACCACTACCAAAATATTACTACGACGCTGCACCTTTGCCTCCAACTACACTAACCAGAGCCACCACCGCCACAAGATCGACAACTCTTAAAACCTCCCCACCACCAAAATACCAACAACACCTACACCACCATCGTGGCATCACCACAACCACCACTACCACCGCATACTACTGTCCACCACCGCCGCCGCCACGAGTTCCACCATCAATCTCAGTCATTATCACTGTAAGCACCATCACCACCATTCAAAATTCACCACCAACCAACAATCACAAAAATCACCTCAAGACCATCGCCAAAGTAGCGAAGCAGTCGCCGGAAACCACAAAAAATCCGACCATGTCAAAAGAACCCTCCTTCCTACCATGTAATGTTGAAATCGCTACCTACCTTCCTGCAAGCAGCAATATCAGATCGCCATCCACCCTCCTAGGTAGAAGTCGCGTGACCCACACGCTCCTCTTTCTGACAGTGTCGGTCTCTCGCAGTGGCAAAGACCTTCTTTCGACGGCGCTCCTCCTTCAATGGCACGACAGGGCTCGCAGTCGGTGGTGGCGCTAATTCTCTTATTGCAACGTCAACATTAGTCTCCTGTAGTTGTGTAGATCTCGCAGTCAACTGCCGTGCGAGAGAGAGAGAGAATTGGGGGCAGGGGGAAATGAAAGTGGAAGAATAATTAGGGTATGAAATTATTATTTATTAGATTAATTTTTAAATATATTAATTAATTTAAAAAAAAATTGATTTGTGAAATATTAAACATTGCATCTTATTTATGAAATGGAGATTTTTAATCTATTAGAATCTGTAATTTCCACTTGTTTAAATAAACTCATTTCAATGTTTGTTTGTATAATAGCCTTCAATTACAAAATACAATAAACAAATAATATCAAAAGTACAAAATGCCCTCACCATGAAAAAAACTCAAATACCCCTTTCAATTCATTTAAATTTCTTATTTCATCTTCAAAAATCATCGTCTTGCTTTCCCTGTAGTACTATAAAATCTTTTTATCTATTACTTCACCCATCTTCTTCAATATTTTGAGCATTTGAACAAAAATATTAATTTTTATACCATTTACATTGAAATCTCTCCTATATTTGAAGAAAAAAGAAATGTATTTTTAGAAATGTCGTGTATATTGATACTTTTATTGTTGAATATTGTATGAAATGATATTTTAGTTGATTTTTTTCTTACATTTGATGTATTTTGGCTGTCTACAATTATTGGACGATAACGACACTTCAGTCGTTATCTGTAGTGTAGAACGATACTACAATCGTTATCGTCGATGTAAAGCGACAGTAAAACCATAAGTGTAATAGGTGTTTGAAAACTATACATAACCATATCACTTGTACGGATCATGTACCACTCGGTGAGAGACATGAACGATGAAGACAAAATGATACATCTGTTGGTTTTTGTGGTTTATGATGTGCTATTTTTGTAATATTGAAAAATAATTGTGGTGTTATAATATTCTGCTTTTGTCATTTTAAAAAACAAACTATTTATAATATTTGGAACGATTGATTTTGTCATTGTCTTAGGATCGATGAAATTAGAATGACAGATATACTTTTATTTCGTTATTATAAAACAATATTGGTGTTGTTTTAAATATTTCACCTAAAAAATATAAAAATGATGTTCAAAAATTAAATATTATTGATTTAATAGAAACTAATTTCAAAGTATACATGGTATCAATTATTCGTATCGTGTTTATATACGTAACGGCACTTGTGTTGTTTTCTTTTTTCATGTTGATTAAGTAACGAGTATGTCTCTCAAATTTTATAAATGTCATGTCCATCTTACAATTTAATGAGTTCAAATTATCGATTTTTGAAACTCAAACGGGTCGTGGGTACTCATACTCATATTTATAGACAGAACGACACATATATCGTTTAATAACACCTTGTCGTTATGTTGATTTCTCTATTATTTTACTCATTTTTCATCGAAACGACATCAAGTATTGGACTCCTTAACTTAAGAAAGTCGAAAATGTTATTTATATGACAAATGCCGGTAGAATTGACATATATTGTATAATATTAAGTTGGAGAAATCGCAGGACATTATCCACATTCGTTAGAAAATATAATTAATGAACACCTCTTGAATTTTGTAAATATCATGCTCATCTTGCAACTTAAATGAGTTCAGCTTATTGATTATCGAGGCTCGGATAGATCGTGGGTACTTATAATTGTGTTTATAGATAGAACGACACACGTGTAGTTTAACGACACTTTTATCGTTATATTGATTTCTCTAATATTTTGCTTCGTTTTCACCGCATCAATCTCAAACATTAGACTCCTTAACTTAAGAAAGTTAAAGATGATAGATATGTAACAAATATTGGTAGAATTGACATAAATGGTATGATATCGAGTTGGAAAAATCCTAAGGCATTATCAATATTCGTTTGAAAATATAATTAATGAGCATATCTCTTAAATTTTGTAAACAAGACGTCCATCTTGAAATTTAAATGAGTTCACCTTATCGATTATCGAGGCTCAAATGGATCGTAGGTGCTCATACTTGTGTTTATAAGCAGAACAACACATGTTTAGTTTAACGACACTTTTGTCGTTATGTTGATTTCTCCAATATTTTACTTCGTTTTCACCATATCGACTTCAAGCATTGCACTCCCTAACTTAAGAAAGTCGAGAATGTTACTTATGTGACAAATATTAGTAAAATTGACGTAGATTGTATGATATTGAGTTGGAGAAATCACAAAGCATTATCTACATTCGTTAGAAAATATAATTAATGAACATATCTTTCAAATTTTGTAAACGCCGTGTCCATCTTGCAATTTAAATGAGTTCACCTTATCAATTATCAAGACTCAAATGGGTCGTGGGTACTCATACTTGTGTTTATAAGTAGAACGACACATGTTGTTTAATGACACTTTTGTCGTTATATTGATTTCTCCAATATTTTATAAATATCGTGTCCAACTTACAACCTAAATGAGTTTAATTTATTGATTCTCTAAGCATAAATGGGTCGTGACTACGTATACTCATGTTTATAGACAGAACGACATAAGTGTCGTTTAACAGCTATTGTGTCGTTCTGTTGATTTCTCAAATATTTTGTTACTTTTCCAATGCAGCAATCTCAAATATTAGATCTCCTAACTTAAGAAAGTTAGAAATGTTGATCATGAGACAAAGAACGATTAAATTGACATAGATTATACGACATTGAGTTTGTGAAATTACAAGTCATTGTATTGATTCGTTAGAAAATATAATCAATGAGCACATTTCTCAACTCTAGTAAACAGAATGTTCATATTGCAATTAAAATGAGTTCAACTTATTAATTTTCGGGGGCATGGATGGGTCGTGGCTAATATACTCGTATTTATTGACAGAATGACACGAGTGTCGTTTAACAGCTCTTGTGTCGTTCTATTGATTTCTCGAATATTTTGCTTATTTTCCAACGCAGCGACCCCAAACATGGATCCCTTAACTTAAGAAAGTTAGAATGTTTGATCACTGACAAAGAACAGTTGAATTGACATAAATTATACAACATTGAATTGGTGAAATCGTTAGTCATTGTATTGATTCGTTAGAAAATATAATCAATGAGTGCATCTTTCAACTTTTGTAACCAAAATGTTAATATTGCAATCTAAATGAGTTCAACTTATTGATTCTCGGGGCATGGATGGGTCGTGGCTACGTATACTCGTATTTATAGACAGAATGACACAAGTGTCATTTAACAGCTCTTGTGTTGTTCTGTTGATTTCTCAAATATTTTCCTTCTTTTCCCAACGCAGCGACCTCAAACATGGATCCCCTAGCTTAAGAAAGTTAAAAAGGTTGATCACATGACAAAGAACGGTCGAATTGACATAGATTATATAACATTGAGTTGGTGAAATCACTAATCATTGTATTGATTTGTCAGAAAATATAATTAATGAGCACGTCTCTCAACTTTTGTAAACGGAATGTTCATATTGCAATTGAAATGAGTTCAACTTATTGATTCTCAGGGCATGAATGAACTGTGGCTACGTATACTCATGTTTAAAGACAGAACGACACAAGTGTCGTTTAACAACTCTTATGTCGTTCTATTGATTTTTCAAATATTTTACTTTTTTTTCAACGCAGTGACCTCAAATATGGATCCCCTAA